GAACTTAGGGATGGTGTGTGTGTGTGCGTGCGTGTGTGCGTGTGTGTGTGTGTGTGTGTGTGTGTGTGTGTGTGTGTGTGTGTGTGTGTGTGTGTGTGTGTATGTGCGGGCGTGTGCATGCGGGTGTTGTGTAGATAGAAAGGGCCACAGCGCATAGTAGAAGAGAGCAAAAGGTATAAGAAGCTTTGAGAGTAAACATCGGCGGCAACGATGGAGCGGGAGCGATAAAGTAGTACACAGCGACAGACTACTGAACTACAAATCGCATCGCTACACTAACCTGACTCCATCGCTTCTTGTGTCGGATCTTCTGCTTATCCTTCAGGTGCACCGTCAGCATGTTTTTGCCGGGGAGTGTCCACACTAGTCGGCCCCCGTACGGTGTCGGCAACTTCTTGGGCGGGCGGAGGCGCATCGGGGTGCGGTGGACGGCACTACAAGTAGCAGCGGTTTGTTAACTACAAGTTCTTATAGTCACGATCACTTAACAAGCACGCGCTGCTACCGGTCTAGTGGGCGAGCCTACGTATATAACAGTTGACTGAAACTGACGGAATCAAACATATTAGTAATACTCACTGTAGCCTATTTACGATAATTGTCTGCCTTACGTGCTAATGCTTTGTATTCAAAGCTGTGCATGATAATTCCCGTCACTCGTACGCGGGAATAAGTACTAATTTGAGCAAACGCGCCGGCGCAGCGATTACAAGGCGATACAAATTGCTGTCACATCCGCCATGACAAACGTTCCATATAACGTGAGTTTACATCTCACGCGAAGGTCATTCCTGCAGTTAAACACAGCGATGATTGCGGTGGTTGAGCCTGAATATCGGAAGCAGGCCCGGCTCAGCGCGCATGCAGACGCATGGCGAATGCGTCTCCCTATTAAGTCCCGTTACAAAACCTGGCCGTGGTATGCAAACGACAATTCAATGACTGTGTTTGCGCGCCGATACCTCGTTCACGATGATTGGCTATACTCATGTAGGACCTATAACCAACTACGCTAGTGCATTCGTTTCCACTGCGCACGCCGGATTGATATTGGTATACACGTTGTCGCATTCAGAAAGCGCTTTATTTCCCATTCTCGCAGCTCCCGTTATATTCTTGAACACGCACAACAGACACCATGAATTAACTCGACAATTATGTAGCTGTATAGTTTGAGCCGATAATTTCTCGACTTTAACCAGTTGTCTTCTGCAGTCAACGCCTCACTGCGCGCACGCATGTGCACGCACACACATTCATTAACACACTTATTTTTGTGTAATGGGAAATATATGAGCAATGTATGTGATGAGACAGTATATATAATTCAGATAATTTGCGGCTAGGTTTGGGAGTTTAACGTTGCGCATATAACCGGACAAGCGATCACGTGTATCTGAGAATTATAGTCAAAATAAAAAATGTTAGTGTCACAACTCTTTGACATGATCGCAGTATTTACAAAGTAAACGTGTTACTGTGTTAGTTGGTCAATCGTTAAACGCTTAGAGGATTGCCTTCATTATTTACATGACTGATCCATAACCACCAAGCATTATAGCGTTCATCTTCTTTTTATTGAACTTGTTTGTTAGCAGTCCACTGACAGAATGACCTCTGCGGTTTGTTCTTATATTTACCAACACAAATCGGATAGAGATCTCTCACAAAGCAACGTTTGTGAGTGTATCCTACAATGGCACGCGCTTTCCAACCGTCGTTCCTAGTCAGCTACCAACGCACGGCCGGGGGTAAACAAAACAAACTTAGGTGTTGTCATGGTTACGCATCTGACGTTTAGAGCCCGTCCAATAAAATATATAATGTGCGTGATATTTAAAAAATTATCTGCGATGTTGTTGCTGCAATACTAAGTGTATGGCGGGGGCCGTCCACTCATCTACATTCCTGCTCGCAGTCGACAGTCGACCGTCACGTTCCCCAGTAGGAAGGGGTCGTTCGCCTACTGATACATATTTAGAAAATAGAATGTAAGCCTGTCTTCTGTATAACCGGTTAGCGGCCGGCTTTACGCCGTTTCCTTTAAGTGTAGTAACTAGGTTGTCACTCGTAATCTTATTACAGTCATTCTGGTGCGCCTATACAACCTTGAATACGCGTGAGTGTGTGATGGGGTTAGAGGTCTGACTGTCCTTCACCCAGGTACTATATGGATGTATAGCTGAACAACCGCGATCAGCGTCTTGCGAAAATATGCGATAAAGCGTTGTATAGTTTTAAGGCTAGACATTAGCATTGCGGTCGGAATTGCGTGTTCATATGGAAGTGTTGTACTTATTCTGTAAAAAAATTCTCGTTTTTATACCCACTCTAATAATTAACCACATTATCGATATTACAATTACCGATTATTATTAATCATTACGATTACCATTAAGTAATATTGCTAACGATGTGATCATCGTCACTCGTTGCTCGTTATTCCCGTCCTCACATATCCGATTATTTACGCCTACGTAATAATATATATAAGTGCTAGATGTATAAATTGCAGGATTAGTATTCTTGAATCAGCAATATAAAATCATAGAAGACGCATCTACATGTATAGCTGACGTATACTAGTACATTGTGATATGACAGACCATGTTCAAAGTTGTATCCGCAATCCTTCGTGTGAATTTCGATATATATATATATATGTATACAAATAGCTACGTTTCAAATATAGGTCTGAGTGCCGCAGAGCGCAGGGGAAATAGCCGCAGGCTCTATAGATTGATGATCACTGACCCGAATAGGTGTGTATGTGGGCCATGAGGTGGACTCGCCGTGGGGAGAGACAAAGCGTGCCCTGTCTGGGAAGTACCGCACAGTGGCTCGATGTGAGAGCTAGGGGTGAAAACTCACGACTATCCTTGTGCGCGTGCGTGCGTGCCTGTGCGCGTGCGCGTGTGCACGCGCGTGTGGGTGCGTGCGTGTGTGTGTGTGTGTGTGTGTGTGTGTGTGTGTTTGTGTGTGTGTGTGTGTTGTGTGTCGTGTGCTGTGTGTGTGTGTGTGTGTGTGTGCGGCGCGTGTGCATGCGGGTGTTGTGTAGATAGAAAGGGCCATAGCGCATAGTAAAAGAGAGCAAAAGGTATAAAGAAGCTTGAGAGTAAACATCGGCGGCAACGATGGAGCGGGAGCGATAAAGTAGTACACAGCGACAGACTACTGAACTACAAATCGCATCGCTACACTAACCTGACTCCATCGCTTCTTGTGTCGGATCTTCTGCTTATCCTTCAGGTGCACCGTCAGCAGTTTTTGCCGGGGGAGTGTCCACACTAGTCGGCCACCGTACGGTGTCGGCAACTTCTTGGGCGGGCGGAGCGCATCGCGGGTGCGGTGACGGCACTACAAGTAGCAGCGGTTGTTAACTACAAGTTCTTATAGTCACGATCACTTAACAAGCACGCGCTGTACCGTCTAGTGGGCGAGCCTACGTATATAACAGTTGACTGAAACTGACGGAATCAAACATATTAGTAATACTCACTGTAGCCTATTTACGATAATTGTCTGCCTAACGTGCTAATGCTTTGTATTCAAAGCTGTGCATGATAATTCCCTCACTCGCTACGCGGAATAAGTACTAATTTGAGCAAACGCCGCCGGCGCAGCGATTACAAGCGATACAAATTGCTGTCACATCCGCCATGACAAACGTTCCATATAACGTGAGTTTACATCTCACGCGAAGGTCATTCCTGCAGATAAAACACAGCGATGATTGCGGTGGTTGAGCCTGAATATCGAAGCAGGCCCGGCTCAGCGCGCATGCAGACGCATGGCGAATGCGTCTCCCTATTAAGTCCCGTTACAAAACCTGGCCGTGGTATGCAAACGACAATTCAATGACTGTGTTTGCGCGCCGATACCTCGTTCACGATGATTGGCTATACTCATGTAGGACCTACAACCAACTACGCTAGTGCATTCGTTTCCAGTGCGCACGTCGGATTGATATTGGTACACGTTGTCGCATCAGAAAGCGCTTTATTTCCCATTCTCGCAGCCCCCGTTATATTATTGAACACGCACAACAGACACCATGAATTAACTCGACAATTATGTAGCTGTATAGTTTAAGCCGATAATTTCTCGACTTTAACCAGTTGTCTTCTGCAGTCAACGCCTCACTCAGACTCACAGTCTCCTATATGTACCGTATAGCTGCAGTGTATATATATATATATCGTGTGTGCGTGAGTGCATGTGTGTGTTTGTGTGGTGTGACTGTGTGTGTGTGTGTGTGTGTGTGTGTGGTGTGTGTGTGTGTGCGTGTGTGTGCGCGCGCGTGTGTGCGTGGCGTGTGTGCGTTGTGTGCTGTGTGTGCTGTGTTGTGTGTGCTTTGTGTGTGTGGTGTGTGTGTTGGTGTGTGTGTGTGGTGTGTGTGTGTGTGTGTGATGTGTGTGTGTGCTGCGGGTGTGTGTTTGTGTGCGTGCTGTGTGTATGGGTGTGCGTGTGGGTGTGTCTGTAGATTTACGAGACTGCACGCTTTCTGCGTGATCTATTTTCAATAACGTACGCTCTACGTGTATACGGTCTATGTAAATTATCCGGGAAAGGTAATGTGTTACGAACAAGGCGCCCGCATTTGCCTTTTACGGCTTTACGGTGTGGGCCGTCGCGCAGTCGCGCTCCTATCGCGTGCGTGTCCGTCCATTCATCGCTGATCGGCAACAGCGGCTACCGTAAGCGCCGTAGACACGCTAGACTTGGCGCAAATAATACGGCAACACATCCGGACGAAAATGACACATAATTTCTAAACTACCCATCATCTTAACTGCCTCTTCAACCTAGATGCTTTTGCAATTGTTGCGCGAGCAAATTGCAAAAACCGTATCAAGGCTATATGTATGCAGTTGTTACCGAAGGCGCCTGCTACACTAAACATGTCGATTTATGACGCAATAACCAATTTCACAATAGATTCATATGTTTATGTAAAAATCTTAGTCGGAATATCTATGTTGTTGAAACCGTGTACGAGCTTGGTTGCGCGTGTATATCTATATTCTCTGCGCATGCGTGTACGAGCGTGCGTGTATAAGCTCTCACCTGGCAGCGAAATCCATCACACTCAGCAGTTGCTTGACGAACGTGTTGATCGTCGCTTCGTCGTCAGAGATACCTTCCAGTTCCATCGCGTCATCAAACCAGAGATGAGCTGCGAACGAACGCGGAGTTAAAGCATGACCTTTATCGTTATACAGTGCAATGTGTCTTCCTTAAAATTCAACCCTGGTATACAGTGTATAATGGGAAATAAATGGGGTAACGGTACGCCAGTGATTGCATTGTTGGAAATTATTTGTCGGCGAACGTTTGTCACGTATTAATTTCGCATTACTTCAGTTTCGTATTCATTGCAGGCCTCATACATGCAATGATAACTCAGTGACGAATATTTAAGATAAAGTTCAACAGCGTATTCGATTGCTGGCTTAACCGTACGAGTACCCAGCAAGCTATACTGCGAAAATGCACAATTTCGTGCCAATGCCCAAACTAATCGTATAGCGAAACCAACATTGGTAGTGTTATCGTTCGAGAAATGATCTAATAATGAACATCTCTAGACCAAACTAGCTTGCCGCTTGTTAACGTCGCAACGATCTCGCTACGAGAATTTTATAGCGTGCTTTGATGAGTATTCTCATGTCTTCCTATGACACCACCACCATTTACTGAGCCATGATGTAATGATGTCGAGAGTAAGTACCCACTTACCTTCGAATTCATAGTAATCAGGATCAGCTACTTTAAGGAAGCGCTCTGCCTTGCGTCTGGCGCTCTGATCTTCATCTAGTCTAAACATTACAGAAATACCCATCTTTAAAATCCGTTGTGCGCGTACCCACACACACACACGTTTTATGCATGTAATTTCACCGCGTTTTTATGGTAGGATTACTACGCGGTTATCATTCTTACGAAATCTATATTCTGTTTCTTCGAACGGTTTTCGTGATATTCTTCGAGCACAATGCGTTTACCTAAAGATGGACTTTAGTACGGCTGTCATCTCCTTGACGGTTTCGTGCCACATGGTGGCGCACACGTAGATGTGAGTGTGTTTGTCTCGCTCGTCGTGCTTCTGTTCCAGCGTCTTCTTCCTCTGAATCTCGTCGACGCTGTCCAGACTGTCAATGCTCGCGTATATGTTCGATTCCAAATCTCCGGGAACAGCGTAAATGTCTTCCTCGATCATGCCCTATATGTACATAGCAAACGTGGGTCGCGGTCACGAGGCTGCGCGGCGTATGTAGGCGTATGTGAGGGCGAGTGTATATCACCCATGAGAACACCCGCGAACAACGACATTACACGCGTACAAACTCGCCCCTGTTGCTCAGAGCACCTGTAGTGTTGCGAAAGCACAGTTCATTATTGCGACATGGAGCAATCCATATATATATATAATAAGCCTATCTATATGTTACGTGACGCTTTAACGTTCATCACTGCCAGTGTTACCCGTGCCGGCGACTTTACCCCCTACACAACTAAAGTGGAGAACAAACGCGTAGATAGAGCGAGAAGCAAGAACTCACACCTTTTCGTTTGACCAAGCCCTAGCCCTAGCCCTAACCCTAACCCAAACCCTAATCCTAACCCTAACCCTAACCTTAATCCTAACCCTAACCCTAACCTTAACCCAAACCCTAATCCTAACCCTAATCCTAACCCTAACCCTAACCCTAACCTTGTACATACTGAAGTGGAGAACAAACGCGCGTCGTACTCACATCTTTTCGTTTGACCAATCGCTTTCTGTCCTTGCGTCGGTTCGCCGACAGCGACTGCTCGATGGCCGTCGGGTCGAAGTAAGCGAGTGCGAAGAGGCGCTCCGTCTTGGCGAGACGCTCGCACTTCGGGAACCAGATATGCGACGTGATCCACGCCTGTGACAGCACCCAGATCAGCCAGATCCAGCCGTACTTCTGCAGGAAGGTGTCGACGTCTGTCGTGAACGCGTCCCAGTAGAGGTAGGCGGGCAGCTGGTCGGAGATGAAGCAGGCGTCGTTGCCGCGCAGCTGGATGAAGGCGATCAGCACGGAGACGCACAGCGGCGAGGCGAGGTTGATCGGAAACGCGAAGCTGAAGCCCTGAATCATCACCTTGCAGACGAAAAGGCTGACCTGCCACAGCAGCAGCCCCGACACGACGGCGATCGCCAGCGTGATGGCAGCGTCGCCCGAGTTCGTCATCAGTTGCTCTGTAACAACGTGAAGCGCGAAGGATTATTAAACTGAGAGCGATATGACGTCAGACGATCATAGCGAAATGACTTCAGACTATTATAGCGGGATGACGTCAGACTATTATAGCGGGATGACGTCAGACGGTTATAGCGAGATGACGTCAGACGATCATAGCGAGATAACATTAAATCGATCAAACCGCGACGACGTCACACGACTGGAACGAGGTGACATCAGACGATCAGAGCAAGATGACGTCAGACGTTCAAAGCGCGATGACGTCACATGATTATGCTCGATGACGTCAGCTGCGTCAAGAGCGCCATCGCCATCGTTACCGCGTTGCGTCTATTGCGACGACTGCTACCAAAACGTCGACGTTATCTCGATCGGCGACTATAGAACTTACTTTGCTGGAGATCCTTTAACACCTGTAGGATATTGGGCGCCAGCGTGGCGTTGTCAGCGGGTCCGGCTTCTACGATGGTCGACAGGAACTCGGTTAAGTTGTGGTCGGCGGTGGTAGACGACAGCGTAATCTCCTGCGGCAGGAAGGCGGCCTGGATGTCCATCAGCATATCCATGCCGATCGACTTATGGTAGAAGGCGATCATCATGAGGAACAGCAGAACTATTTTCCAGACGCTGACCCAGAGGTATGTCTTTGCACGCGTCCTTTTCATCTCGTCCTTCACCTTGCCGATTCTGGCGAAGATGCCGAACATTGCGTAGCGATCTGCGTAGTTCTCCCAGTACTTGATCGACATCATCGTCAGCGATACTGGTATCGTCCAGTTTGCTGTGGGAGCATAATAGACCGTTTAGGAGGAGATTGAGCGCGAGGTGCGTGCGATGTAACACAGCTCTACGATCGAGAAGCCGCATCTAGCACAGTATTGTCAAACATTGCACCGACAGTAGAGATTGCTCATGAGAAATAGTCGCAGAAGCGAAAACGAACTCATCATATTAACAAACAAGCTATGGCCGCTATCTATATTATCAGGTTCTCGTGGTTGCCGTCGTCACTTACTTTCACCCTGAGTCTTGTGGATGATCGGTAGGATCCAGAAGGGCGACGACTGCGCTGCGATCGCTACGACGTCGACAGCGATCTTCAACCAGCGGTTCTTGTCGTCGGTCGGCCGTGAGAAGCATGTGAGAATCGCCGGAATCAGGAAGACGGTGCTGGTGAGCATGGCGCCCTGTACGGCGTCGACTGCTGGCAGGACCTTGAAGACGAAGAGGCTCTGGCCGACGGTGTGAATGCTCTCGATAAACAGCGACTGAAAGCAGGAGGATGAGGAGGATTAGGTCAGGAACAGGACGCGACCGTGCACGCGGTCTGACGAATACATAAGAAACTGCTGCACATGTGTGTGTGTGTGTGTGTGTGTGTGTGTGTGTGTGTGTGTGTGTGTGTGTGTGTGTGTGTGTGTGTGTGTGTGTGTGTGTGTGTGTGTGTGTGTGTGTGTGTGTGTGTGTGCGTGTGTGTGAGTATTGGTTTACGCGGGGTTAATTCAAATGTTACCTCTAAATAATCGAACGAATAACTTGCAAAAAAAGGTATCCCATTTTTTTTGCAAAACCGAGTAGATATATATATATATATATATATCGTCAAACGTTGCTAACAAAAAATACAATTCAATTAATAATGTATACATACCAATATTATGTATTTGAACTTCGGTCTTGGTAACGACTTTTTGAAGGTCATCAGTCGTACGGAACGCAGGAACATAAATATCTCTGGCACCCATAACGTAAGCAGGATACACCATATCCACCTAAAAGTTATAGGAACAAGGGTTAAGCAAACGAGTTGAAAATATATAACATCGACTGTGATGCATGACGTAACGTTCTTTATCCGAATTGATACAATTGGGAAATTTATGCGTAGAATTTATGCGTTTTTTAGTTACGTTTACATGACAAGACATGCAGCGCTCGTGAGCGTGCCTACAGAGGAATTCCACTTTAGTAACATGGGCTATTAGAATTCCTTCTTATGAAAAAGAACCTATATGTTTTTTTCTGTATGATCAGAGCTGTGTACCAACTAGGATATACCTAACAGGGTAGAGCTACCACTGCATGCATACATAAAGTTACTGCATGTATAACATTTACCTCACGTTGTGTAGCGTTATCATTTTGTATAACTCATCTCGTGGTATATAAAGATATCACTGTGTATCAATTAATTCACGTTATATTGATCTAACATTGCGTTTTATTTACCTGACGGTATATAGAGCTAACATTGTATATTAATTACCTGACGGTATAGCGCAATGGAAGCGTAAATTCCTCAACCTTCTGAGCGTTGAACGTTGGAACGCACATCTTCGCTGGCTGATCAGGGAGCCTAGCGTTTGACGTCATCATCAGCATACAGAGTTTAGTTAAAACTGAAAAGCCTGCAGGTACGAAACGAACGACGTCATTTCAACATCACCTGGAGCACGATATCTATCAAACGCGCCTCCGCGGCACTCACTGAATTATCGTTAACGGAACATGAATGTTTCTTCGCGTTGTTTGTGAAACAATACTGACGAGGAAACGATGAATCATCGCAGATTACATCGCAGCGTTGACGCCCTATTGCGAACTAAACTTAAAGTGATTACGTCACCGTAAATAATAAACATAAAAAAATTATTTCCACTTTTTCACAAAATATAAGTAATTCTGTTCACTTTTTATGGTTAAATTGCCGCATTATACTTCCTATTTTACTATATTGTTTGATGTGAACATACACTCGTGACTCATACATAGCCCATAGCAAGCAATTAATGTCAGGAACATAATATCAAATCGTCCAGGTTTTTTTGATTTTTAACTAGTAGAGAAACAATCTTATCAGGTAAAAATTTGACGATACGTTTAGTCCGGTTAGTTCTTCTTTTTAATGTAAAAAAATGGCAACAAAAATTTAAAAATTTTTATTATAGAAAATTCGTGACGTAGTCAATTTAAGGAAGCTACTGCGTAATACACGAGTGCAGTTGTAACACTCACCGTCTGCAAACGTGCATATTTCATGCATGCGTACGGAAATGTGTACTGACGCGTAAGAAATTAAGGAGAATCTCGTTACACGGACGCATGTTTAAGGTCATATATGCAAACTGACGGCTACCTAGTATCATTATGAATCCGAATATATAGGATCCTAGCTTCGCAGTCTGTTTCATAAACTCGACGCATCTTCCGTCCTTTGTCTTTTCTTTCTCGTGAGGAACCACCCGAAATACGTCCCATGGGCGCACGAGACTGTAGATACTGCTGTACCTGATAGAAGACATGAAAACATGTAAACTAATGAAGGACAACTAAGATAATCCGATCAGACGAAATTCGTTGCAAATAATCGCGAAGGGTAGACTCCTTGCGTGATTATTGTTTCTTCTTGTTTTAATACCTGCGTTTTCTGTACGAATACGTCAGTGCCCTTCATAAGTTGATGTGATTTTAGTAAGGCGTACCTAGGCTAGCTGCCCTGGTACCGTTGCTTGTTACGTTGTTAGACTAGCACTATTAATTAAGAATTGTATCATTTTACTGCACTGACGGTGAGGAGCTTGCAAGCTCATGTTGACATATCTGTTACAAATGTACCGTCTTTAAATTAATTAATTAATAAATAAATAAAATAAATATGTAGACGCATTAGATTTAAAGTTATGCGAATACGCGCCTCGAAGTAGCAGCATTGCGGCTTTGCAATATTTGGATAGGTTTTCTCGTGTGTAAAGCGCCCCACCTTATTAAGCTGCTGTACGTAAGATTACATCTCTCACTGTTATGTTATACAAGAACTTATTCGGAGACATATACACGCAAACATACCCGCACGGACACGGGCACACTCGCACACTAGCAAATGTAGGTACATGCAGGCACACACACGCGCACACACACGCACACACACACACACACACACACGCGCGCACGCACACGCACACACATGCGCGCACACACACACACACACACACGCGCGCACGCACACGCACACACATGCGCGCGCACACACACACACACACACGCGCGCACGCACACGCACACACATGCGCGCGCACACACACACACACACACACAAACGCACGCACGCAAACGCACATACACACACACACACACACACACACACACACACACACACACACACACATAGTGTTTAAGTGTGCCGTTTACAGTATTTAAGTATAAGCTTTAAGTATAAGGAGTGTTGTTTGGAGCTTTGCTCTAGTTTCGTGCATCAACCTAGGTCAGGAATAATGCAAGGAAAGACAATCTGACGATGATTATGCCTACTTGGATTCTCAGCAAAAAAAACTAGTATTATTTACTATGATGCACGTTTTTATAGCTTCTAGGAACACTTGTCGCAATTTTTTTTTCATAGACATTTAGTTCGTTTGTGCTACATAGAGTTTAAAGTAACTGTCACATCCGCTGACATTGGCACGAAGGCGGATAGAAATGGTGACATTTCTGTCTGCCACTTCCTGCTATACGAGCTCTTTAGGAGACGATTGATAGTACTTTGACTTGTGAAACACTTGCTCACTTTATGCACACCTTAACCTCGGCATGCAGCATAACGTGGCAGTGTCACTCCCCTTTTTATAGGTCGTAAATGACAGCATCGGACACGTCAATGCATGAATTCATCTATCAGAATGATGATGATACTTTATTATGTTAAACGTGTCGTAGGGTAAACCGACCAGCTGGCTATGAATTATACCTTAATGCACAAGAACTGTTAACATGAACATGAACTGAACATGGGAACATGGCAGAATAGAATGGGAACATGGGAACATGGAAACATGGGAACATGGAGGACATGGGAACATGGGATCATGGAAACATGGGAACATGGGAACATGGGGGACATGGGAACATGGGAACATGGGATCATGGGAACATGGAGGACATGGGAACATGGGATCATGGAAACATGGGAACATGGGAACATGGAAACACTGCACATGGGAACATAAACTGAGCACATGAAGGGTTCAACACACAGACGCTGTGGATCTTTTAACAGAAGAACGTTACTTCTACATTTCGCTCCTAGCCGTCTCTAGTGACTTTAAAGATACCTAACTTGAAGCGCTTTTAGGCACGTACACTAGTAAACTCATTTCGTTATGATTCTAATGAACTCATATTTCAACTAGCAATTACGCATACGCCGCTCCCCAGTAATGTAGCATACACGTAGGATTGTGAGCGATGGGGACGGTTTTTTTCTCGGCAGGCGTATTATAGGCTGTTGTTCGCATTTTTAACACATGTACATGTCTTGAAGGCTTATCCGGTTATCTATGTCGGCATTTCTTACCCCCGTCAGACCGAGGGAGTGAGTTATCACTGTCTTACCGTGAACAAGACTATGACTGCCCCTAATGAATGCATTTTGACAGGCGTGTGTTTAAATGATTTACGAATTGCCTCGTTCGAGAATGTGCAGAAGACAGACGTTAATTTTTAGTGAATTAGTTGGAAATTACTAATTTTATTTCTACCTCGATGTAAATGTCCTGTAAAGACTTAGACATGTTATACGTATTATATGTGTTAGAACCGCACTGCTAATTTCGATGTTGTATTTTGAAATACGGCAATTATTCAAGCACTTTCGCGGTAATCGAGAGTTAAAATGTAACTACGCTCTAAAGTCGTGTGCAAAAAAGGATACAATATGGAGTCCAGACAATTTCAACAAAGACTATACGCTGCGTGATACCGTCGTTGATGTGATCATATGACGCATGCCATAGTTATGATCGCCGTGCTTGCTATGTACGCATTGTGTTCGTATTAAAAATGCAAGGCTATGTACCTCAAGAGTTACTTAAATCTGCAGAAGTGATGTGAGGATCTAGGTCGCCATAACTATGGGAGTGACTAACGGAATCTGTACACACCCAGTCTTAGAAACGAAACCTGTAATAGCCCTGGAGGAAACCATAAACCGGGTGTCCTCATCCACTCACCCGCATGTATGCTCACAGGTATACAGGTATACAGGTGTACAGGTATAAAGGTATAAATGTGTACAAGTATATTGGTATAGGTATACGGGTACGATGACGTAGCAACAGGTAACGAAGGTGGTCTTAGTAATCGTATACTTAGTATAACTATAATATATATATAATATAAATATATATATCTATAATATATATATTATAGTACTACTATAATATATTTAGTAGTGGTAGAATAACAAAGTTTTGCGACGGTTACCCGTGCAGCCACTAGAACAGCACTTCATTTGTATTTCACACTCGGTATCACAACATCCAATAGACATTTGGATTTTATTATACTAATTCCTATATAACCATAATCCCACAGGTAAATTTTAAAGAGAGCTATGACTTGGCTAGAATACTAAGTCTGTCATATCATTTATTACCCGTGCCGCAGGCATCTTAATATAGTAATAACGGACGTACCTCTTCAGGTTCGTGCTGCCCGTGTCTTCGTCCATGTACGCCTCATCCTGCAAACTCATCCCTGAGTCGTGCTGGCTGTCCTCGATAAGGCTCTCCAGCGACTCGGCCTTGGATAGACCCATGTGCTCGAGGTCTTCGTCTTGTGGGCTGGTATTCCTCGCTGGTGGCTCGGGAGCCATAGAGCTAGGAGGTTTCGGCGCCGGTCCCTTTAGGATGGAGCCTAGTGGCAGGTCTCTGCGCTCCGGAGGCAGAGGGGCCGGTGGCTTCGGTGCTGTCCCCTTGCGTCTCGTCGGAGGGTTTGGAGGTCGTTCGGGAGGCGGACGCGTGTCGTATATAGACGAGTGGGCGCCCGACAGCTGGCGCTGGCGTCGCGTTGTGCCGTCGTCGACATGGTCGTCGTCGTCGTCGTCGGCGACGGACGGTGGCGGCAGGGCGACGGAGAACGCATCGAGCTGCGGCGACGAGTGCGTGCGCGACCTGATGCTACTCGTACGGCTCTCCTCACTCGACACCTGGAAATAATAATAGTATTAATAATAATAATAATAATAATAATAATAACAATAATAATAATAATAATAATAATAATAACGTAAACTACATGTCAGCGCTGCTTGCCGTCCATTTCTCGAGGGTAAACAAATAGGTTTACTTCACTCGCTATGGCCCGGCCGTAGTTAGCACGAAGGTAGTGTAAATAAAAGTAAGTAGACTGAAACTAATTAATTACGAGAGTAGAATTAGTCGAGAGTAGACGACTCTTGACCAGGTATGTTCTTCAGTTGTGGATTAACTGGTCGTGTTGAGAGACTGTTTGTCACGTTGTTTTTGCGACTGTTATAACCAGTCGATAGGGATGGCATTAGTCGGTGAGCTAGATGATTGTTTGGCAGGTGGATTTATATGATTTTATCGAGGTATATTATCAAGGAATATGTAGTCAACCTCAGCAACTCCAGTTTTTCTTTTATAGAGAATAGCCACCATACCGATTATGTGCAATTCGTTGATGCTGCACACAGTCCATGTACAGCAGGTAGTGGTCTGTTCTGTGACTCTAGCACGAGGCAGATTTCTATGGGATTATATCTCGAGGCTGTTGTCCCATCACTGGGATCGTCACCGGGCGTATCCACTCGATCACGGATACACGCCCATGGTGACTGTACTACAAACTCAAGGTTTCTTATGCGGCCTTTACATGCCCTCTGTCACCGCCCATCTATCCGAAAAGCTTGCGGGCCTTAGGATTCTATCGAAATATATTTTTACTGGAAATTATTCTGCCCTCTGTATTATTCAGCCGTCAATGTTTTCAACGTGTGCACATGCAGACACGATCGACGTCTCCTGCCCCCTGTAGCACTAGTTTGAGTTACTTTCCTTTGAGTCGCTAGTCAGGCGCTGACGTTTTAAGCAGGTGAGTCGGCGGAGAGATTCGGATTACCGAAGTTTCGATTTTCTTTGACATCTATCAGGTTTACAGCTTTTGTTGGCGGTAGAGCTTACGAGGTAAACCACCGAGCTGGTACCCCGCCACGGTCACAGCGACTTTCTATACCGAGATGAAAATCTGTCTATTTGAGCGCCGTAAAGTAAACAACGTGTGGAGTAAACGGAGGCACTAAGTGCTCTCATTTAAGTTTAGCCCCCGTCCCTATACATGCCGGTATAATCACCACGCGTCACGCAGAACCCCATCCCTCTTTCCATGGTTCTCGCGCAGTGATCTGGTCAACTCTCCCGCCACGCCTAACTGTTCTAAACTTTTCTCCCGCCAGCCTAACTGTTCTGGCCTTCTCTCCCGCCACGCCTATCTGAACTGGTCAACTCTCCCGCCACGCCCCTGCGCGCCGCCGCCGTCTCCCGCCGCTGCGAGCGATCCGTCATATGTCTGCTTGCGTGTAAGTGGCATCCGGTTCGCCGCGCGTGGGCAGGTGCAAAGTGACAAGAAAGGTCAGCTAGCTGCAGGAATTCTTGAAGGTCCTGCCAGGTGCGTGGCGTCGCGTGCGATATGATACATCATACGCGAGGTGATATCGCTGGATAGCTCCATCACATAAACAAGATCACCGACCTTAACGGATCGACCGCGTTTTAATATTAACCTCGGTGAACCAATGCCAGCACGCATCTACGTCTTATAACTTATATATATATAACGTCTTACGACACGTAAATTATCGCATATTCTCTGGTAACACGCGGTATAGGGCGAACAGGCGCGTCGGATAAACCGGATTGTTTGCAGGCAGGTGCGATAATTGGGTCAGATACAAACCCCACATCTGCCGCAGTGGTTAATTATGTTGACCGCGTGGACGACGAGTAAGGTAAAATGTATTTACAGCCGCAAACATTCTGTTCTGAATAAAATTGACAAGGGCGAAACCTAGCGATCTCAACAGCTCAAACTCTCCTGACCGTATGACCAAAAAACTAGAACAAACTTGTTATTTTGTTCGATGCCTTTGAAGACGTTTGGTTTTCTATTCAATCAGCTGAGCGCGATACGTTGTCCATTATTTTACCGATACCAACAAGGTGGTGGATGTGTGTTTACGTTCTGTGAGTGGTTGTCTATCTTGATTTTCTACTCCAAATAGTGAGCGTGTGACGTGCGACCCAGCTGTCTTGTAAATCCTATCTCTAGCCCAATAGCTCACTCTGTCTTAGCATGAGCACACTTAACCTCATTTAGTCACAAATATTTGCACTTCCGTGTAGCAGGCCACTGCAAATCTAGACATTTCTTCGATTGAACTAATATGCAAACATGGTAGCGCATAAAACCCGTGGAGGTTCGTCTAACGATTCTCGTCTATTTACCAGTAAAGGATCGAGCGCATCAGCAAGGAGTTAGCCTCATGTGTTTTTTTATGAGCCATGGAATAAATGCGACAAACGCTATACGCGCAGTCATCAGCGAAGTTCCAGTATGCGTAGTCTAGTTACGTGGTTCTGGATAACCGGACGCATCGGACACGTCTTTGAAAAACAATCCTTACACGCGTTCTTATTTGTTCATCGCTTAATCAAAGCCACCGCTTAATCGGGATATTTTACGGTCCCCGGCCTGTACAGCAGGACCCACTGTATATAGCATCTATCCTTGTTATACGGGTAGGCGCAACAGCTAGGGCAAAATGCAACGTGAGGCTAGATTACACGCTGTCATTCACCGCCAAGTATAGTTTATCAACCCGACGTCGTTGTTCAGTATCGGCATAACCGCGTAGCCGCTGTCACGCGCGACCGCCGTACGATTGCCTAAAACTGGTTTCATCGTCGTCGTCGTCGTCGTCGTCGTCGTCGTCATCGTCAGCATTGCCGACGCACATGTCATTTTAGATTCCGCTATACAGGCATACGTATACAGCTAAGTATTGACGTCATTCGCTCACAAAGAGTACGAGGATTTCACTACGCTGTGCTATTGCTGATCAAGCCAACAAAGCCATAGATATCCATTGAGCTGCCGTTAATTGATATTTAAAAACAAGTCCACGGCCCGTAATTGCCACTACTAATGTAGCAATACTTCATTCTTGCGAAATTCTCAGCTATCCTAGATGTTGTGGGTAAATAAATTAAGAAATAATAAATAAATAAGCAAACAAATAAACAAGTAAATGAATAAATGAATAAACAAATAAACTAATAAACTAATAAATAAATAATTATGTAAACAAGCAAATCAGTAACAAATAAATTCATTAATAAATAATGACTAAATTCAAGAGTAATATAAGCTGTGTCTGCGAGTGTTTCTGGGTATGACTGTAAGGGGGTCGTCGACCTTATCTGATGACTGTTACACAGTGATTCTCTGAAATCAGCATTCCGAGCACGCGTTTTTTTATTGGAAGCTTCAAGAGCAGTAATTACGATTTTATAAGAACCAATAAATCTACAATACACACACACTACAGTAACATTCTCACTGCGCACCAGTATACACACTAGCAAGGAGTCGTGATCGAGTTTACAGTGGTTACAGCTATAGTATGACATGTTGGTTTAACGGCAAAAAACTCCCCTAGATCTCTTTATGCCCTCGATCAATAACCGCGCGCTAACGCAACTAAGAAAGCGTGAGATGTTAATTTTTCTTAGAAACAATGTGAATTTCACGCTATTATAGTGCGCGTACGAGATTGTAGAATTACGCGCTAGAAACGCACTTACCGAGGCGATGGATTCGGTCTCTATAATATCATCATCCATGTTTCCGTTGATGTCACCTACGCTCTATCAGCAGGTCCGTTAGACATTCGCGGCGGTAAGAAAACTGAGCGATCGTGCAACACACACGAGCGCTACTGCGTCGTAGCGACGTCGCTTCACGAGTGACGGGTGTCGAGTCACGTCCGCGACTTAACACAGGTAGAGCGATTCTATAGAAAGTACTTTGATGGGTCTTAACGACGACCGCTCACAGAGATCGGTGTACAGCAGCGCGGGGAGATCGTCGGCCGAACGTTCTACGTGTGCGCAGCCTCGGTAGTCGTCTGCCGCCCGCGTCTACCTGCACGTCTGTGACGCAATCAGTCACGCTGAGCGCGGCCCGCCTTTATGACGTCACAGCGTAGGTGGGATTTCACGTGGGGCGCTTAACAGAATGCGTCCACCACCACGCCTCTAGCAGCAACACTCGGCCACTGTGCTAGGGAACACGGTGTAGGCCAGCGTAGGCAGGCAGACAGTCGGCACGATACGAGAATGCATGACCCACAATCCACGCTCCGTCGCCCCGCGCCCATTGTGAGCGCGCAAAGCGGAAGCGGGCTTGCAGGCGGGGGTGCGCGGAACACAGGTGAGCGAATTGTCTGCCTACACACCTGTACCAGGACCCGAGGTCTGGTAGAGGCCGAAGGCTATATGTTATCGACTGCTGCGATTGCAATCGCAATTAAAAATATTTATAGAAAATGTAAAATATACACTGTGTACTCGACAGATCGGTGTACCAAGGTCTGCTAAGACGCGCGGTATATTAAATAAATTTAAGCGAAAGATCATGAAGGGATCCGTCAGTTTCTAGCTGTTTTTTCATTCTATTTTCGGAATTTGGCGTTTGTCATTTACTATAACATCTTTATACATTAATTATATATGATATATATTATTAGCATAATATTTTTCATGCGTTTTGGCGTCGAAAGTGAATACAGAATGTAACAATAGAATGGATATAAATATACAAGAAATCTCATAGTATATCAGATATCAGAGACCATATATAGTATAGTATATATATATATAGTATATCAGTAGTATAGGGGGATATCAGATACCATCAGCTCTGCAAACGAAGGCAAAATCAGGATTTTTACTATTTTATCATATGGACATTGCCTATGCGACAAAGAATGACTTATGATTGTTACACGTGTTGTCGTCCCCGTTTCATACACGATAACTACACATCAGTATACACCAGAATCCGACGCACCGAGTCGTAAAAAGAAACTTATTCAACTCGAAATTGTGATTATTGGAGCATTCATGCATGATCCTTCAGAATTAGAACGTTCCTAGTATATAAATATATGAGATGACACTCGCCAGCAGCCACCTAACAGTAAATACGTGCTTCGTATCTTTCACAAATGTCGAAGATGCGTTGATTTACTATTCCATGGCCGCTGCGCGTCTCGGGCCATATACCTGGTGGCACTACCCGGCAAAACTCGCCTCTGACCCCGTGGCACCAGTCCGGAACAGATAGATGATTATGTGAATGTAGGACTGTGTCATCAGCCGCATGTTGATGATGCGCTGTCTAGTTGGCTGTGCTGATCGTTGTTAACAACTTCGGCTATGTCATCGCCTGCAGCAACACAGACTCCGTTCGTACTAGATCCCAGCGCGTGCCGAGTTATCTCTCGTTTACGGCTTACATACGTATTTCAAAGATTGTATATAGATTATTATATGAATTTGCAATTACGATAATTCACGCGCGCTTGGTGGTGGCTGATGTATGGCGACAAACTTGCCGTGTGCCATCTATATACAACCACAGCAGTTACGAAGCGTTCACGCATGAGTGCAAAATGTGGGCGATGTATCCACATCATAAGCACATGCTATATCGTATTATATTATCAGGAGTGAATGATAATAGATTATAATAATAGAATCTATTATTATTCACTCATGATATGATCAACTTCTAGTTACATAACTTGCAGTATGGCAGTGGAAATATCCATAGGAGACCAAAATTAAAGTTGTTATAGCCTATGCGAAAGGCAAAAAATTTCGCATATAGGTTTTAAATTTCCGCATTTTACCGCGATCCTTCGTTCGCGATAGTATATGTAAGGTAAACTAAAGCAGGAACAAACGTCACTAGTCGTGAGCCGACATTATTAGCTTTCTACTGATGGACTCAATTGTAATTTAAATGATGATGTGTGCCGTGTGAGCGCCCTATAGTGACGACATCAAGACATGTAACGGCAATACGATGACAGGCGACGTCCGCGCCGATGAATCTGCTGTCAGCGAAGTTGACCTGAATATATAGATAGATTCATGCACTCCACTCGCTATAGCCGCCGGGCCGCCCTTATAGCATGCTGGCCGGCCGTTAGTGCTGAAACTAACCTGGTTACGGCATGGGAGGTGCATGCAGGCATCGGTGGCGGGTCGAGACCCGCGAGAGGGCGTCAGCGGCGCTCCGCCACGGGCTGCGTACGTACAGTTAACATTATATATGTATATTTACGAGTTTATGTGTTAGTGCGTGAATTTGTTATTCACGAAGCTTCGATACTAATCGTATCCAGACGTTGTCGGTTCTATTATCATGCATACTATATTATATGCACACGCACACGCACACGCAAACGCACACGCACAGGCACACGTATACACGCACACGCACACGCACACGCACACGTATACACGCACACGCATACGCACACGCATACGCGTCTACTCTCCATAACGTAGGCCTACACTCACACACACACACACACACACGTGCGCACACGCACGCACGCGCATACACACTCACGCACGCGCGCATACACACGCACGCACGCGCGCACACACGCACGCGCACACACGCGCACACACACGCACGTACGCACACACATACACACACACACACACACACACACACACACACACACACACACACACACACACACACACACATAAACACGTGCGCACGCACGCACGAATACACACCTACCGTAACCGTTACGCATAGATTTTACATCTCTCTTTCCTGGGGCTACAAGGAATGCTATTTTACAACGTCTAATTAAGGTAATTTCTCTAGCTACTGAAGAGTAGCGCATCCATGGTCATTCAAAATCCACTTGCGTTTTAATTTTAGCCCCAAGTATAAAGTAGGTGCACGCCTCCGCTATAAAAAAAATACATTCAACAGTGCGAATTTTGATTTTATGTAGGTATAAAGAAGAATAGAGTAAAACATTGCGACGAATACCGAGTGCACGCGTATTCCAAGCAATCACGCCCCAGGTTAAAAATGGTCGTATATTTTCTACTAATTATTATTGTGTATAATTTTTTATTATTATAGTCAAGTATATAGATTTCGATACGCGATACAAAAACCACATGCTTAAATATTAGCCTTATTTGTATAGCGTCATCGTCTGAAATCTACGCCTCAGTCGCCAATTGTATAAAACTTGGCCATAGATGTCAGCACCATCCATCGCGAGCTCAGTATAACCACAGACTAACGGATACTATCCGTTAGTCTGTGGTATAACTCTGGTATAGCGGACGCAGTGGCATTGCGGAACGCAGCACGTATTATTCGCAGTGACAACTGTTACTGGTCACGGATCACGTGCGGTTGTCAGTGTTTGACGCATGTTTGCACAAAACCACAAGTACGCGTTATTCAACGTATCAGGATATCAATTAGAGATATCTCTGATTACAGCTATAACAGACTATGGTTCGGTACGTAGTCACGCCATGCATTATTTTACACTTGAAAGCATGCGAAATTATACACACGACAACACCGCACGCGAAATTTTCTGGTGGAAGTAATGACATTCGATGGCACGATGTCAAAAATAGAAAATGTCATAAACATATATTTCGCCTTAGAACAGTGGTAAGCCAACTAGGTGATGGTGAGTTAAAGGTGACACGTCACAGTAAACTTGCGTGTTTATAAAAGGTGTCTACTCGCGTAACTAATGAAAATAATTTGAAACGACTAAGAGTAAACTGCCATAATGCTGATAAATTGAACTACAAATAACTTTTATAGCCTTCAAAATAAACTGTAAGGATAAAGAGTGCAGATACTATCTGAAAGAAAATTCCAACTAGAAAATCCCGCGGTTTTAGTTTATGACGGTAGGCGCATTAAATTGGCGTGAGTGACACCCGTTCGACATCTCGCGAGAAAAACTAGGAACGATATTCTCGTTCAGGTAAACTCCTCAATCTAGAATTTTCTCAATGCTGTAATATTCACTTGTAGTTAAATTTATTGTTAATTGTTACTTGAGATTATTGATTTTAATTTGTTACAAATTATTTGCATTACTTGCATGTGAATTCACCTGTATCTTGTGAAAAAATTCTTAATCACCATAAAATAAAAATTCACCATTTCTAAGCGAGTGCAGTTCCCATCAATAACTTGGAAATAATCGGAAAATTAATGTACCCATCGAAATTTTATATGAGATAAAAATGATTCATTTGCATTGATGCATTGTCGACGTGTAGAATTACACTATAACCAAGATGGGCTTGTAGAATAACATAACGAGAGAATAAAAACAATTTGTCTTCATTTACTAGCTCCTGATAATATGCAACTGAACCGTCAATCAAAGCGCATGCATTGAATTGGGTGTGAAATGGAATAAGGAAGTGTTGGGGAAACTCGTTTCATGTAACTCTCATCCAAGCGGCACAACGGGAATACTCGGGTTATTTGCGCGTTTATCCTTAATGTTATCCTTACTGTCTCGGGTTATACCAACATGGCGTTACTAAACACATCATACATGTGGGTTTTTTCATTTTTATGAACGACGTCCATTGGTCGCCAGATTAGTTGATGTTGACTTTTTTTAATCGTTGACAAACATATAAAACAGACCAGAGTCAGTTGAAAAAAACAAAAACAATAAAGTTAAAAGTTTAAATGAGAACGTTAAAAAAATTGAATCAATGTCCATCGAAAGAGCAACGTTAACAGACTCTCCACATTAGTAAATGTCTAATATAAATATATAATTGTTATTATTATTATTATTATTATTATTTCCAAAGTGGATCACGGCATTAGCCGGTGGCTTCTGGGTTGACCGTGTCCCAACCTGGGACATAGGGATTCAATCCAGAATTTTTCGCAGGATGTGTGCTGTTCCCATTATTATTATTATTTCCAAAGTGGATCACGGCATTAGCCGGTGGCTTCTGGGTTGACCGTGTCCCAACCTGGGACATAGGGATTCAATCCAGAATTTTTCGCAGGATGTGTGCTGTTCCCATTATTATTATTATTTCCAAAGTGGATCACGGCATTAGCCGGTGGCTTCTGGGTTGACCGTGTCTCCACCTGGGACATAGGGATTCAATCCAGAATTTTTCGCAGGATGTGTGCTGTTCCCAGTAGCGCGATTTTCTGCACTTCTTG